AGCAGGGACACACAGGAAAATGAACAGCCACGCCCAGGCCAGACGTACTTGGGGTCAAGGGTCAGGGGCAGCTAGGCCCTGCCCTTTGCCAGGAGAGGAGCAGGGCAGGCTGTACTCAGGTGGGGAAGGGGCACAGTGGGCATTTATAGGCCACTCTGTAAACCAAAGTCCATGGTTCCAGAGTGACTCAGGAAATGTCCACCATCCACTAGCCACACTGGAGGTAGCCCAGGACACTTCCCAGGGGCCAGGAGGATATCAGGCAGAAAGTCCCTGTGTTGCCACCAAAAGCAAGAAATTAAGCAACTGGCTTTTTGGGTTCTCAGTCTTGCCTGGCAAATGTAATTCTAGCTTTCTCTTTTTGTAGAGCATAGGGTTCTAGCACTCCTGGGTTCAGGATGTTTTTAATCTGCAACGTTCCAAAAGTGTCTTCCTGATTCTATTCAAAAGCAGGTGTAACACTTATTACTAGATGAGTAGGAACTCAACGAAAGAGCCAGACTGGACTGCGTTCTAGATGTAGGCTGGAAACTACACTAGGGACATGGAGGCTCCACGTACCATTCAGATTTTCAGAGGTTAATCCTAGATGGAGGAGCTTGATCTCCACACTGAAATATTTCTGCTTAAAATGATATCTGCTGATAAATATATAATAATTGCACTTTTTTCTTCAAATTATTACATTCCAAGATGACCAGAGAAAACTGCTCTGTGCTCTTCATGGGTTGCTACACTCCAGGAGCCCTCCCGCACATGACTGTCACCCTGGGGCTTGTTCCAGGCCCTCACCAGCCAGCAGGAAGACCAGAAGCTCTGAGGCCAAGCTGGGAAGGGCCTGTACAGTGCTGAGAGAATCTCCAAATGCCTAAGTTAGATCTATATTTTCTTTAAAAACACATTTTTAAAAACCAACGAAGGAGTATCTTGAAATGGATCTGTTTGTGTTCACTACTGTGCCTCAGTGGCTATTTTGTTTCAGGTGGGGTTCGTATTTTGATCAGAGAGTAAATACTGGAACACCTCTAGCCAGGCTGGCCTTACACTTGCTGGCTTAGGGAAGGCGGCTGTAACACTTGGCAAT